ACTGAGGGCTTGGGATGTAGCTCAGAGGGAGAATCCTTGCCTAGCATGTACAAGGCCCTAGGTTCAGTTCCAGCCTGGAAAATAATAAATCATTCTGGACTAGAATGGATCTAGCATTTTTATAAAATAATTCGTTCTTGAATATTGGAGATAAAAAAAACCACCCTACTTTCTTATCCTTGCTGCCATGAATGGGGTGTGGGATTACACTGAACAAATTGCATCTACTGTGGATATCTCAGGGCAGATGGTACCTCATTCATTAGTTCCCTCAGCTTGATGGTAGTGCTAATTTAAGTTTAGTAATTGACAGGAACAAGCCTAAATCCCAACTTTGCTCCCCAAAAGTGCTGGTTAGGTCAGCATGGTGGGCTGGCATAGGTATGAGCCCTTGGACTACAGGATCTGGGCTCTACTTCACCTCACTGGCTTCCCAGAGGTCCCAGGAAAGTCACGTTAGCGTCCCAAGCTTCAAGCTTTATATTTTGATAACTTCTACCCAGGATGATAAGAAATAGAGATAAAATATAGTTTATAAACAGAATTGCTCATATGAGGAGTTTGAAAGTGACACTCCTATTCTTGTTATCTGGATGTCCACATGCTAGGCTGTGTTCCTATTTGTCTCTGATCTATCCCTCCAACTGAGTTGTGAGCACATGGAAAACAGATCTGCTTTACCTTTGTCATGCTCATGGCCCTCAGAATTGTGTCTTGAATTTGATAGTTGGTGACAATAAAGATGATAATGTAAGTGAAAGAAATGAAAATTTAAAAATTGTGCAAAAGTCCCACTAACAGTTGTACAAAACTTTAGTGCACAGAAGACCTTAGCGAATTTGGAAAAACCCAAATTTCTGATCCACACCTCTCACCCTGGGAGCTTGTAGTTCAGTTGGCCTACTAGAAATTTTGACAAGTTCCCTGGGTAATTATAACACAGGTGCTCTATGTCCTGATCACCCTTAGAGAAACCATGCTTTCTGGAAACACCCACATCATGCCGGGTGTTCAGTCATAAAGAGATGACCATGTAATACCTAGAGTAAGCACTGATGATGGTTTAAGAGAAAATTTGATCTGCAGGGTCATTCAAAGATCTACTTTATCACTGAGCTGCCAAGTAGTTATTATAAAACTAATCAAAACTTACTTTTCAGAAGTTAATTAACATGTTTTATGTCCTAGTTACCATAGCCAAAACTATATATGTACATGCTGTCTTTTTGGCTCTGACTTGCCTTGTGAAGAGAAAATGGAAATGGAATAAAATGTCCATTGGGCATTAGACTGCAAATACATTTATCTGGCAGCAAAGCATTAATTTATAAAGACAACTGCACTGCATTATGCATACAGCCTATCCTCATTTGGTTCCTAAACTGGTCTCTTAGTGAGACATTCCCTTTCTCTAAGTGCTTCTATTTAGGACAAAGGCTTGGAACCATGAAGAAATAATTCTACTTTCTGGGAGTACTACCCTAAATTATTTCTTTTAATATTACAAAGAACTGACTCAAAATTAAGAAAATAAGAATTGGTGCAAGAGCACCAATTTAATGTAGGAACAATTTAGAGACAGATTTTTTTTTTTTTTTACTTCATGAGAATTAGGAATATAGAAAACAGCTAAAAAAAAGAAAGAAAGAAAACAGGTATCATTTACTTTTGATTTTCACTCAAACACTTCAAAATATTGATAGAGTAAGGCACACTTTTCAAGTGAATAATAGTTTAAAGAGAGGGCAATATTTTCTGGTTAGGCCATAAAACAGACTATTTTGATTGTTTTCTACATCCTGATGATTTTGATGTTTTCTACATCCTTATTATATCTATAAAATACATTCTACGGATATATATATTATCAAGAATAAGATATTAAATTAGTTTACCAAGAAATCACACTTCCATGGAGGCTGTTAGTGCATCTTATGTGTATTCTGGATCTCAGTGAAAATCCACAGGTCTCTGACCCTATTATGGGGTTCCAGTGAAATTAGTATCACCGGCCACTGTTGTTATATCTACTGTAAGTCATCAGAAACATTTCTAAACATGAAAAAAATGAACTTTGGAAAAAACTGTATTCTTAGATCTTAATTCTACTCCAACCCTGCAATAATTACAATAATTACAAAGATAAAGGATAAAAGTCACAAAGTGCTGGCTGGGACATTCCAGAGCAGTAGAAAGCTTGGCGCCATTTTTATAGTTATGCCTGTTAAGATTTAATAGATGGAAAGTTTCATTAGTGAGCTGTGCTGCAATTAACTTCAAGGAGGTTCCAGACTACTGTATGTTGCTGTTACTGACAGAAAACTGTTTAGATTTCCCTCTCGAAGAAGTGTATTGGACTTTCAACACTTCAATTATGAAAACTAGTAAAAAGCACAATTTAAAAAAATTTAATACAGAAGCCAGTTTTTTCTTATCACCAATATATAGAAATAATGGGCTTTTATTCTTCAATGGATGTTCCAGTTGTTGACTATCTGGGAGAGAGTAGCTTTGGTGTATATTATTACTAAACACAAAATTGAGATAGAATTATCCATCTCTCCTACTGGCTCATAAAATTATATTCTGTAAAGGAATTGTAGCAATGTTGGAAACTATTTCCCTATATCAAAGATTTTCCTAAATCGTGTGCTCTATCTATAATGTAAAATGAATGCTATCAACTCTGACAAGTTGGAAAATATCAGAGAGTAAGAGCTGTGGAATGTAGTGAATTTCTCCTGTGGCTGGTTAGATTTCAGTCTGCTTCTGGAGCTTTGTTCCAGACTGTGGACAGAAGGGTGGGGGTTTGCCAACTCCACTGCAGTGGAGATGACCTGTAACTCCCCTTTATCTGTGTGAAGTCATTTGAAGTCACTCTTCGCTGAGTTACTGCCACCATTTAAGTTTTGTGTCCTTTGGTAGACTGTCTCTACCTAACATGTTATTTCCTTTCTGTATTCTAGTATGATACGGCTACACTATTATGGTCCTCATTGTTATATTTTATTGTATTAAACAGCAGACTGGTGTGGGTTTTTTAATGACTTGAAGAACAAAACCCACATTTTATGACTTTTAAAATCTGTCTTGATACTCTTTCTTCCTGTTACAACCTACCCACCCCCTGTTATTCTACATATGTTTCCTTAATAGGCTGCAGATTTTTTTAAAGTATGTTGAGCATGTAACCATGATAGGCACTTTCAGAGACATGTTCATTTTTTCAGATCAGAAGAGTGCTTTTGGTGTCTGGAAACAGGAATTTAGTTTGACAAACATTTATGGAGCACCTAAAAGACTGGAGTTGTCATCTACATGGAACTATCATAGGCCAGTGTGTGCTGCTGTCTGCACATCACTGATGAACCCATTTTCTTCCACTTGAATGTAAAGTCTGGAAGGGGTTGACCTACAATTTTACCTTGTGTCATGTAGTAACATTCAATTGCTTTATTATGGAGGTTGAGAGACTGGACTAACCTTTTCCCTGACTTTGATTTGTCCCCAAAGTACTGCCTCCTTGGAGGTCAATCCTTTGCAAAGTGTGAGCCTTCTTTATTTTTCTTAGCCTTTTAAGATGCATAAGACCTGACCACACCATATCCCAAAATATGACAATTGTGGGAAGAATGAAAACGGTGTCATTGCAGGATCCCATGGTCAGGGAATTGGACTGCCATCCTCCCACCCAGGCTCCAAGAGGTTACAGGACTGGATGTAGATGGAGGTGGAAGAACCACATCAAGACCAGACCCACAACTCTTTCTATGCAGTACACTATAGCTTTCTGTATTTTGAGGGACAAGTACCGTGATGTTTTAGGGAGGTAGGTTTCATTCCTTGGAAACTTCTTTTGGATTCATTCTGAGAAAATAATTAATACTTAGGTTAAAGTTGGGTCACAGTTTAAGAGATCAGTTTGCTTATTTAGATTTTATGTATTTATGGTTGGTTTTAGTTTCTGCTCTTAAACACCAGCAGCAAATTATGGGGGTTTGTGCAGCATTGCATCACATTTCTTTATGTCTCCTTGTGACATGGTGTTTGGAACATGGAGCCAGATATCAGGCTTGAGAATTATAGTCTCTTTGTTACAGCTGAGTTCTGACCTCAGGCGCAGAGTTTTTTGCATGATGTTATGTATTTTTTAACTTCTCCATTAATCAACGTGTTTGTCTATCAGTTCTCTCACAGGAGGGCAGTTAAGGTTAATTAATCTTTAAAATTGAAGATAGGCAGTGTAATATTATCAGAACTGGTTTGCTGTATGTCAAATGGATCACTAGATTTTTGCGTATTTAGCTATCTTTATTGGTCTGCATTCTCATTTGAAGAAACATTTAACTTTTTATAAGCAAAGACAGTATAATATACAATACTACTAAGCCTAATATTCAAGAATGTTTTCATACATGTGTTAGTATTAATTAGGGAGCAGTTCTTGTTCGACATGTTTACTTTTAATTCTTAATAGGTTTCCAAGTGGGGTAATGTAGTAAGTACCCAGAAAAACTAACAATTATCTAGTCTAAAGAGCTTTGTATTTCACTGTAAAATTAAAATTGTGGGGAAATTCTGTTTTCATTCTATTCATATTAACCTTTTCTTATCCATAATAGCTAAAGGTTAACTTGTTCTTGCTATTTTTATGAAGTGAGAAGCAGGAACTTTATCTTTTTATGAAAGGAAGCACATGAGTGCCAAGCATTCATTAGAGATTGAAATTAGAAGCCACTGTGAGATTAAGTCAGAATGTAGTTCATTGTACAAGACCAATTTGGACTTTTGTCGGTACTGATATTAGGAAGAGTGAATATAATTGCTTATATGAAATGTACCTTCATCTTACTCCATGCGGTATGGGGGATGCTGGGGACAGTGCTCTCTGTGACTTTCTGAGAGATAAATGCATCTCCACAGGTGGGTGTCACCACCCTGGGGCACTCTAATGGGATCTGTTTTAAGTATAGTTCAATGACGCAAGGAGAAAGTTCCTGCTTTTTTATTTGTTTTATTTTCCTAGCTTCATCCCTGTGTTACCAAGTAGCTAACTCAATTTCTCCCTCTGCCTCACACAATTGTACAATACAGCCAAAGAAATATAACTAGTATCTTCACAAAATGCCGGGGTTTTCAGCTCACATTTTACAAGTGCTCAGGGGGGAGAAAAGTCTGAAGGGGAGGTAGCAGGGCAGTGGCTGGTTTTCTGGGATTCGAACAGCAAGGCTTCTCATAACGGTAACTTCTCCAAGAATCTGAGCAAACAAAAATGAGAAATAATTTGTATTTATTTGATTTTTAAGAAGTTGATGAAAAACATTTTTAGCTCTTCCTAAAGATAAAAAGAGAATCTCAGTGTTTTCAAACTAATCTCCAGCCCATGGGGGTGGAGTTTTTGCTAGAAGTTGTCCTGTAATTTCTAAATGAATGAACAGAAATAAGAAAGGTATTATATATACTATTTTATGCTGAATTAACCTCACTATATACTGCTAAAGATCTATCTCTGGAGACATGCTATAAAAACTAAACACTTTTACCACCTTGGCAGTATTATAAAGTATTTCATATTTTACTATTTGGGTGTAAAATTGCTAATCAAGGGTGGGAAATGACCAGAAGAAAACAGGAGAAAAAGAGACTTATTGAAACACGCTGGAATACTACCAAGGTTTTATTGAGTGTTTTCACTGTGTATTTTTTCCTCTCATCTTTTAGGGCCAGCACCTTTCAAATAAAAGACAATCTGCTTAGAATAATGGAAGAACCGTAGTATATAGCTGTTGCAAATGGAAAAATTCTATTTTGCCTAATAGGCAGAAGAGCTTCTTTAAATATGCCATTTATTTCAGGGAAGGCCAAACTTCTTTTAGGTTGTAAACTGGTTCTTTATTTAAAAAATTGCTCCCCCTCATGCCAACACAAAATTTACTATCTCACAGCTAAGGCAGTGTTGTGTTAGCTCTGCAACAGGGGTGCTCAGTTAATGTGTGAATGGACAAACATGACTGGCTAATTTGCAAGTCATACTCTTCTGGAGAACACTCCGTGGGTCCCTGACACCTCCCAGTGTCCCTCCACCAGTGGTGTACTGAGAAGCACTGCTGTGGGAGAGAAGAGGAAGTCAGGACACTTGCGTTGCACTTTGAGTTCTTGCTTGCTGTGTGTTAGGCAGGCTTCTGACACTCTCTAATCTTTAATTTGCCCCTGTCCTGCTGCTTCCTTTCCTTTACACCGGGGTAGGAACAACTGGGAGACTTAGGTGATAATGTTGGATTCTTTCTTTCTCATGAAAGCAGCCCAAGCTCTGGAGTCAGATCGCTCACATTCAGATCTCAATTCCACATCTTAAAATGCCTCCATTATCTCATCTGTGAAGTGTTAATAATAGTTGCTCATTATTAACCCTATCCAAGTAGGGTTTTTGTAAGGATTAAATAAATTAACACATGGAAAGGATTAAGAAAGGTGCCTGGTGCACAGTAACCAATAAATGCTGTTGCTGTTGTTGCACTTATTACTATCTTTCAAATATTAGCACAAAGGCAGTCTCCTCTCTGAGCTCTCTCTAGTCCTCCCAGGTAGAGTTGTTGTACTTTCCGCATAATTCCAGTAAAGCAAATTATAGCCTGGCATGGTGGCACACGCCTGTAATCCCAATGATTTAGAATGCTGAGTGAGGATTGCAAGTTTCACACCAGCCTAGGTGACTTAATTAGACCCTATCTCAAAAAATATTTATTTTAAAAAGGGCTGGGAGCATTATTCAGCTCTAAATAAAGATAAACTTGAGGCTTTTATAGATAAATGGATGCAACTAGAGACCATACTCATAAGTGAAATAAATCAGACCCACATGTATAAACACCATATTGCCTCCCTGGTGTAAGAACCTGAAAGATTAAATAAAATCTGAAAGGTACAATAGATATTGTGAAAGGGAAAGAAACTGCTCAAAAGGAAAGAACAACTGGCATTGGGAAAAGGAGAAAAGAAAGAAAGAAGGAAGGGGAAAAATAGATTTATATATACACAGGACTGCTAAGATAATTGTACTGCTGATGTTTCTGGTTTATTGCAATGAAACGTTAATGCTTAAAAAAATTTTTGACCAATTTTGCATGCTTATATCCAGCAAGCTGAACAACTAATTTGAAAACAACAGTATGCAATATAACAACCATTGTTGAATTCCTACTATCTTGTTTTGTGAAGTTCTATATCATTTCTAATGTTTTATTATTATTTTTTATTCTCTTTAAAATAAAAAAATTAAAAATAACTAAATAAGTCAAACGTGAAAAAATTAAAAAAAAAAAATGGCTGGGAATGTAGTTCCATGTTCCCTGGGTTCAATCTCCTGTACCGCCCCACACCCCAACCCCCTCCCCAAAAAAGTGCTGTATTATCAGTTCGTCTCTGTGTATGTTTCCTCAAAGAATGTAAACCACTTGAGGTAGGGACAAGAGAATGATGTCTTATTCGTGAATTCCTAATGCTAGTACAATGCCCAGCATGAAGTAGGCTCTCAGTGTTTATGAATAAACAAAAGAATACCTGGATGGATGAATGAATGCGCGCCTGTTTCACTTGTCTCCCAATGCCTATTCCTTCCATCTTGCTTTAGTATTCCAAATGTCAGCAGAGCAAGCAACGACCCAGCTGAAGCTCACAGTTCCATCCCCCTTTACACTGTGTGTGGCCATGTGGTGCTGCGGGCAGTGGGAGGCACATGGAAGGGTGCAGTTTTCCAATTGTGAGTTATGCTCTTCAAGGGATGAGGCTCCATTTCCTCTTTTCCTCTCACCAGTGGATGGAATCGTGCACCAGAGTAAGGTCCAGAGCAGCCGTCTCCAACCTGAGATGGACAACAATAGCTAAGCAGTGTGGTACTCATTGAGGATGATAGAGAACCAGAGTTAGCACCCTCTGGGCTTCTAATGATGTGGTGTTCCTGTGCACCATTCTGGACTGGTGGTTTTTGGACAAAGTTCTCTCTTGTTTGAAGTACTGCGTGCTGTTGTCCTTTGTTTTCATGGTAGATGACTATTTTACCAGCAGAGTCTTTTTGCTAATGTAATGTCTACCAGGCTACATTTACTTAATCTCTGGCCTTTCAGAGAGAATTTTTAAATGTAGGTATTATGTAAAAATAAATCAGATCAGAAATGACTGTATGATTTAAGTAGGGTGACAAGGACTTTAACTAATTTAAGAAGTCATTTAACTTTGTTTGCACTCTATTTCCAGTTGCCCAGTAGTTGCTCCCACTGGTGATGAGGGATGAAGGACAAAGGGGTAGAAAAGGCCCTTGGTGACAGGATGGAGGGATGAGGGCAATCTTATGCTGGGTTGAGTTTCTCCTCACAACCTTTCTCCCTGTCCCAGGACCTCGTTGGCAGCACGTGTGTGTCCTGCGAAGCAAGACCAACAGAGAAAGAGAAGCAGCCCTTCTGACCTCCTCTTCTACTTGTAATGAACTCCTTTTTGACCTTGTAAACAAAAGCTAGTGAACAGAGAACTGTCTGAGTCTCTGGATCAGGGATCCAGGATTGATGTGCAGGTTATAAGTTAAAAAGTTGTCTAATGTCAACAAAAAATTTGCCAACCAATATGCTGTTCTAGGGATTTTTATTATAAAGGAAAATGATTCTGGGGGAATTAAAAGATATAGGTGAGCTACGGTCACTTCTGAGAAAGTAGAGAAAAACTGTAATGAAATGTGACTATAGAGATATACAGATGCAGCTTCAAAATTTTTTATTGACATACATGTACAGGAAAACATACACCATAGTCTATAGCCTGGTGAATTTTCACAAACCAAACGTACTGAAGTTGAAACTTGTAGTGATTCAAGTTTTATTCCTCTTAAATATTTCTGTTAAAAATTGACCCGGAAATTTTAAGTATCTAAAAACATGAGTTCCCATTTCCAATTTACAACTGTAAAATTGGAGAAACACTGCAGAAAATGCTTGTTATTCATGAGAAATGCTACTGTTTTTTTTTTTTTCCTTTTCAGAATTTTATCACAGCTCCAGGTATTAAAAATGTATGTGGCACCTTCTTGATGTATACCCAGCTACACACACAGAATGAGAATTCAGAGCAATTTATCTTAACCTCCTTAGCAATGGTCTCTCACAAGGTCCATGTATGTCCTGCTTGTGGCTTCTATGGTACATCAAGCAAGTTACTTAACCCTTCGAGGCCTCTGTTTTCATACAGAAGTGGTTTAAGAACTGTACTTTTAATAGCTCAGATTGAAGGAGATGATGTATATAAAGAAATGTATTTAAAGAAAGACCTCAATACCTGTTGTGTTTTGATACTATTATTAATGCCAATATCTACCTATACCCTAGCTATTGGGTTTAAGGAAGCTTTAGAAGTAGCCAGTGATTATAATGAACTGTGTAATGTCCTCCTTTTTCAGGAGAACAGACAAGTCCTGAAATGAGATTGCCAAGCTTACATCCTTTGCAGATGAAATGTGTTCTCCTAGTGAGAAGTGGTTTACTACATGTGGGCTTCTGGTTATGACTGTTTGTAACTGATGAGTTACCATGTTGAAACTGTGATTGCTGGAAAGAATATTTCCAAATGGTCTTAAAAGAATGTCATGTAACATTTATAAGAGTCATTGCAAACAAGGTTGCCTCCCACTCGCTTTGATTCAGTGACATTACTTCTGGTTAAAAGCCATAGGTAAGGCCACACACAGTGGCTAGTGATTTGGATAATTAGAAGGAATGGCAGAGGCCTGTCTCTTTACAAGGAAGCTAGCAGTGACATGCAATTAAAGGAAACCATGGGGGGAAGTCGGGCAGTTTAAAGATTACAGTAGATTGGGTCAAATCAAACAGTATTTGTAAAATTCCTACCCTCCGCAAAAGATTTCTGCTTCCCTGTTTTTAATAAATTGTTCCAGAGATAGCAATTATTTTACACAGTCAGAACGAGAAGAACTTAACTCCGTTGTCATTTTTCTCATAATTTGCTGGACTACAAAAGCCAGTGGCTAAAGCTGTTTATTCAATGAGGCATCTGAACCTGACATTATTGTACATTTATTGGTGTGTTGGTTTCTGGCTTAAAAGGTGCTTTCACATCCATAACACATTATGATCGTGAAGACTGTATGCAAGGAGTCATTGTGAAGTCCTTTCCAAAGAAATGGAAGCTCAGCTCTGATAAGGCATTTGCCATGGTTCATTTACCCTACAAGCAAGATTAAAACTCAAGTAGTATGACTCATGGTGCAATATTCTTTCCAACACATGTAACTGTCCTTTCTAGCATAAATGTGCATTCTTGTTTTCAGAACCTTCCAAGAGTAAAGTTTCCTTTCTGAGATACTGTAATGCTTATGCGTGCCTTGGGAAAAAGCTGAAATCTTTTGATTTCAAAAAAATGGACTCACACACACTCACACATATAAAGGTTTGCATTTACTTTCAGATTGCCTCCTAAAATTTGCTTGGGTAATAGAACAAGGTATGTAGCAAAGTACTAGCCTTGATTTAATTCCAGCAGGACAGAGGCACCTGGATTCTCAGGGAGGAAGAAGGAAGCAGAAATTGTGATGCCATTAACATTATTTAACCCTATTCAGTACCAGGTGCTGCACTGCACAAATTGTGTTGGTGGAAATGCTGCAACACCTTTGAAGGTAAGAATTGGTGTTGGATCCATATTATAGATGAGGATGCTAAGACTACCTTCCTAGTACTCATAGCCAGACATACACTATGCTTTGTGGCCTCCTCAAATGATAAATATGTGTGGATGAAAAGCTGTTTCCCTGGTAATTGGTCATGCTATGTGTGATGGTGTTGCTGGTAAGGGGGACAAGGGGTTTCTAGAAGCCCTTTCAGCACCCAGCATTCCTTGGGGAAATTGTTTTCTTGGGAGTGAAGGGTTGGAACTCTTAATGACAGTAGAAATATGCAGTGTGAAAAGGATGGAAAAGACCAGAGCAGCATCCACTGGGTGGTCCATTTTTCTTGGGATGTGTGTTGGTGTTCAGCAGTTGTATTAATTTTTTATGTATTCTATGTTACATTTTCCTGTTAACTTGGCAAATGACTAAGTTGCTGAAGTTGGTTGAGTAAACTTACAAGTAGAGCCATGGCTAAGGGAAGGGAAAAGGGAAGTCCCTGCATTTGGAGTTTCCTGAACCGTAAATAACGGCTGTGTTCCCATTCCCAGCAATATGCTTCTGTCATTAATTAACTTTTATGGAAAGCCATGGTGTTCATGACTTTGGCCTCTCCCTGCTCTTGATCTATGTGGTGTTATGTGGTGTAGACAGCACTGCTCACAGGTGGGATTTGTCTGACAGGGTAATCTGTATTAGCTTGATGTAAAATGCCTGCTGATATATGGCATTCCCCTGCAGTGGGTGCGTGGGAAGGGACAGAGCAATGATGAAGCCTTCCTCATTCCTGCTGATTATTTTTCCAGCATGGGATAGCAATATCCTGTTCTTTGTTAAGCTAAATTTTAAGCGTCAGATTTTTCAGGTGTTGCTGAGAATGCAGGGCTGTCACTTGTTGGTGTGGTGCTATATAGCCAACAGAGAGCATCATGAAGCTGGAAGGACACAGACACACAAAGCCTTTCTCCGTCCATTGGTGCCAAACATGTTCATGACTCCAGCAAAGGAGATCTGAGTTCACCTTTTTGAGGTGGCCCACAGCAGTGCTAGCAATCCTGCCAGAAAGCTACCCCTCTTTTGCTTGGTTCCAGACAGAAACTTATTTTAAACATTGTTGTGCATCAGATTCACCTGGAAGACTTGTTATGGCACAGACTGCTGGGTCCCACTCTCAGCATTTCAGATTTGGCAGGTCTCGGTGGTGCCAGAGAATGTGCATTTGAAACAAGTCATTAGGTTCTGCTAGTGCTGCTACTTCAGGGAACAAAGTGGGAAAAACACTGCTCTCCAGATTCTGACCACAAAATTGTAGCAGACGCATGGGTTTCTGGAGTTGAGCAATTTGGAATTCGAATCCTCTTCCTATGGCTATGAAATTTTAGAAGAGCCGGCCAGCTTAGTAGGCAAGGGCACCATGGAATCTGGGAACTGCATTTAACTTTGCTCTTTTAAGCTTGAACACAGGCAGATGATCGCATATATAGAGGCTACATTTAGGCAGCAACTCAGGGTTTTCTTGAGAAGAGAGATGTTCTCACAAGATCAGCTTTGCTTTGAGCATACACCATGTCACTTGGAAATACTAACTTCATTCCTTGGAAGTGGTTAGGATGCTTCAGTTGGGCATGGCATGGTCTATGGATTACATTCTTCATGAGGGGGAAGCACTTGATATCTCTGGTATTTGGAGGATAATTAAGGGCTCAACACTATTAAATGAAATATTTTTGAAAAGAAAAGAAAATCTGTTAAAATTAGCTTAGAAAAAATACATGTTTGACATTCTAGAAAGAAATCTTAGGCAGTCTGGTCTAACAGTATGGACCAGTTGTTCCACTTAGCAATGGAGAGGCTCAACAATGCTTGGCTTTCTTTGGTGGAAGTGAAATAGATTAATAATTGGATTAGTGTGACCTCAATAAGCAAAGTCCATTGAACTCTCTCATGGTCCTGGAGTTCATGGACACACTTGGATCTCCCAGAGCATTGCTACCTCCAGGCACTAACAGGTGTTGTGAGTTTTCCTGAGCACAGGTCTTCAGGTTGAACAAGGTCAAACTGAAGGGAAGTTGGGCATAGAAGTACTACGCCGACCTGGCTAGAGCTGTGATGAGTTATGACAAGAATGTAGTTTTGGCAAAATGTAATCTCTCAGTGGAAAAAATATTGACTTTTTTCTTAAGTGATTTGAGAAC